AAAAAAAAAGAGTTACCTAGAAAAAAAAAAGTTACCTTAGAAAAAAAAAAGTTACCTTATAATAAATATATAACTTACTTATAAGGTAGTAGCCTATAGTCTTAGTACTTATAGGTGTTATAAAGCCTTATATAGGCCTTATATATAGTAAAAAATAAAGAGATTTACTTACTATAGATAGATTTATTTAAACTTTTATAGAGGTACCCTAGAAAAGAAAAAGAGTTACCTTAGAAAAGAAAAAAGTTACCTTATAATAAATATATAATTACTATAAGGAGTAGCCTATAGTCTTAGTACTTATAGGTGTTATAAAGCCTTATATAGGCCTTTATATATAGTAAAAATAAAGAGATTACTTACTATAGATAGATTTATTTAAACTTTTATAGAGGTACCTTAGAAAAAAAAAAGAGTTACCTAGAAAAAAAAAAGTTACCTTATAATAGATATATAATTACTTATAAGGTAGTAGCCTATAGTCTAGCACTTATAAGTATTATAAAGCCTTATATAGGCCTTATATATAGTAAAAAATAAAGAGATCTACTTACTATAGATAGATTTATTTAAACTTTTATAAGGTACCCTAGAAAAAAAAAAAGTTACCTTAAAAAAAAAAGGTACCCTAGAATAAGTATATACCTTTAGGGTCCTAGGTTATAAAAGGTAACTTACTTAGTACTATATAAATATAACTATAAAGGCTAAGCTTAATAATTTAAAGCTACCTAATAGCCTTCTTTTTACTATTAGCTTACTTAGTAAGTATATTTATAGTAACCTTATTTATATATCTTTTAGTTTTACTTCTTATATAAATCTATATAATAGACTAAATATACTAGAGATTAGTTAGACCTACTTCTTATAAGGCCCTTAGCCCTTAATAACTTCCCTAGACTATAGGTGTCTAGTTAGGCTACTTTAGAGAGCTTATTACTAGTTTTCTAAACTTTAAACCTAGATATCTCTATAAACCTAGTAGATATAATTATACTAACTTTACTACTATAACTAGCTAACTTAGAGCTATAAAATACACTATATATTACTATATATATATAATACTTAACTTATTATTAGTTCTTTAACTTTTTTTTCTAGGGTACCTTTTTTCTATTATATATAGAATTAGATAAGGTTTATATAGCTATAAGTTAATTTTTTTATTTTTTATAGTAATCTTTTTTTTAGGAAATATTTTTTTAAAGTAAAACCTAGTAGAGTAGAGTTTAGGCTAAAAAAGTGTTAGTAGGTCTATAAGAGGATAAGTAAAACAAAAGGTATTAGTAAACTATTATACTAAAGTAACCTTAACCTCTACTATATTAAAGGATAGCCTATATAGTTAAAATAACTATACTTTTAGTGTAATATAGTAGGCTTTAGATAATATATAGTAGGCTAACTACTATTACTTTAGGCTAAATACTCCTAAAGCTAGAAGTATACTACTACTAAGCTTAATTTAATATAAAACTATTTACTGTCCTATAATTCTTTAAGCCTACCTTTACTAGCAAAGGACCTTTCTAGGTACTATATACTTATACTTTCTATATTATAATATACTATAGGAGCTCTAGTGCCTCTACTAACAGCTACCTAGGTAGATTATAAGGTAAAAGGTCTATAATATTAATAAGGTCTTCCTAGAGGCCTAAATTATTATATAGGCTATAGGGTCTAGTAATACTACCTTAAAAACCTTATAGTAATAAGTAGAATATAGCTACTAGTAAATACTAAATAGCTATAGTAAAGGTAATAGTCCTCCTATAGTAATACTATATAGTACTATAACTAAAAAAGTAGCTAGTATAGGTTTACTTTTATAGACACTATTAAAGGACTAAGGAATAATAAAGTCTTTTTAATTCTAGGTAATACTAGTCCTTTTATTTACTATAATACTACTCTTATTAATAGTAACCTCTCTAAGAGGGGTTTTTAATACTACTAGTAGGATTAGCTAAAAAGGCTCTCTCTTATAGAATAGCTATTAAACTTAAAACCTTACTAACTTAAAGGTAAACTACTATTATAGTATTATAAATACTTAAAAGCTAAAGCTATATAGTAGTAGACTTTTATAGTAATACTAAATTTAATAAAAGATAAAATAAAAAGTTCTCTAGAAAGTAACACTAAAGCTAGGTAATAGCCTTAGTACTACTATTAGTGTTTTAGATAGTGTATTTATTTACCTTAGGATAGTATAGTTTAGGGATAGCTTAGTATAATACTAGAAAGCTAGGCCTTATAGTACTAGTCTTTCTTTATAATACTATATATACTATTTATATACTATAGTTAAGGTAAATAATAGGATTATAGTAGCTTATAATAGAACACTATAAGGTTTTACTTTTCTAAATAACTAAATTAATTATAAATATATAAGATAGTTTACTAATTAGCTTCTTTTAACGCTATATTCTTAACTAGGATCTCTTTTTATAATACTATATATACTAAATATATACTATAGCTATAGTAGGCGTTAGGCTACTAGTAGCTTATAATAGAACTTTATAAGGTTTTACTTTTCTAAATAACTAAATTACCTATAAATATATAAAATAGTTTACTAATTAGCTTCTCCTTAACTATATTACTAAATAAGTAATATTTAGTTAAGCTTAGTACTTTTAAAGTCTATAATATATAGGTCTATAAATAGTTCTCTTTTATAGGCTATAGGGTTAGATTAAGGTTACCTAGGTTATTATCTTCTTTACCTATAAGGAAAAGCATTAGCCTAGGTTTTTTCTATACCTCTGTTAATAGTGTAATATTATACTAGTTATAATAGGATATAGAGTATCTATAGGGGTATATAGAAGGTGTAATAAATAAATTAGTATATAGTGTTACTAATACCTAAAATTACAGTGGGGAGTCACGAGTCTAAGATTACCCCACTTATGCCACGTCGCGTCGCGTCTCCCATCATACACCTCTTTTTCTTGCAACTACCATAACTTTAGCAAATAGAGGCCAATTTACAGTTATTTAATACCCTTTTGTCAAGAAATCAAATCTCTAACCATAAGCTTACAGAGGTACAACAAGTTGCTATCATTACAGCTGTGTTGACAGGTACATCCTATCGCGAAGCAGCACGCCTCTTTAACTGCTCCTATAGAGCAGTCACTAAAACACTTCAACGCTTCCGTAACAACCACACCTTCCAGTCACTACCCCAAAAAGGCCCTCCAGAGAAACTCTCAAAGCGTAAGAAAAAGGCTATTGTCAGGTCTACTCGCAGAAACTTCCGGCAGACGTACCAAGAGCTTGCTAAAGAGTAAAAAGGTCATGTAAGCCTTAGTACCATCAAGTGAATCCTCTAAGGTACTAACTTTTGCAAATAGTAAGCAATAAAGAGACCATATATTACAAA